TCCTATTAAATACTCCTTTCATTTTTTTTATTTGTCAAATTTTTCTTAAATTTTTGCTTTTACTTATTTGTCATTTTTAAATTTTAAAAAAATATTAATTATTATATTATCAATTATACTCTTACATCTCACTTAATTTTTAATTAATTTATTCATGACAACTAATATGTACTTTTTATAAAACAAAGTATAATGAAAGATGTTATAATAAGAAACATTAAAATTATTCTATAAAAAATAGAAAAAAAAATATTATGTTTCTTGATATGTGTGAAATAACGAAAAAAAATATGTATATCTTGTAACTAGATAATGAGACAAGTATTTAATAAATATTATAATAAATATTCTCTCGTTCATCTCTTAAACACTTTTTAATCATCATTCATCAATTTTATTAATATTGATAAATAAAAGTTTTAATATATAACATATATCTACCTCTCCGAAGAATTGAAAATTTAATGAAAATAAAAAGAATAAAATTTGATTAGAAATGTCTCATAATAATAAAGAAAAATGATAATGATGGAAGTCGAGACATCCAACAATCTTCCACTTGGAGGCTGATCACATCAACTGCACTCTAAAGTAAATCTAGTAAACCTCAAAACCATAACACCTCCAAACTAGTGCGACGCCTTCTCAACAATTAACCATGAAGGCCAGTTGAAGCTATGTAAAGTTTCAACTTTTCAGTAGTAACCACCTTGGTCAACGTATCTGCAAGATTCTTTGACCCAAGGATCTTCTTCAAGAACAAAGTACTATCACTGATTAGCCCTCTAATGAAATGGTCTCTCAATTCGATGTGCTTTGTCTTCGCATGAAACACAAGATTCTTTACAAGATGAATGACACTCTGATTATCACTATAAAGAGCATTGTCACATTGTTTCTTGCCCAACTCTTCAAGAAAAATTTTCAACCAAATCATTTCTTTACCAACTATTGAAATAGCCATATACTCTATTTCTGTGGTTGAAAGTGCAACGCTTTTCTAAAGTCGAGATATCCAACTAACTGTTGTGCCACCTACTGTGAAAATAAATTATGTAGTACTCTTCCTTGTATTTGAACAATCTCCCAAATCTGCATCACAATATCCTTCCAAAATAATATTATTCTTACTGAAACATAATGCAATCTTAGAAGTACCTTTTAAGTAGCGTAACAACCACTTGACAGCTTCCCAATACTTCCTTCCTGGATTAGACATGAATCTACTAACAACTCCCACTACATGAGCAATGTCTGGTCTAGTGCATACCATTGCATACATTAAGCTACCAACTGCAGATGCATAAGGAACTTTAGTCATTGCTGCCTTGTCTTCATCTGTCTTAGGTGAATGCTCCTTTGAGAGATTGAAGTGAACCCCCAAAGGTGTACTTACGATCTTGGCATCCTGCATGCTGAATTTCTCTAATAATTTCCCAATATACTTCTCTTGAGATAATATTAAGGAACCTTCATATCTGTTCCTACTGATGTTCATGCCCAAAATTTGCTCTGTAGCACCCAAATCTCTCATTTCAAACTCTTCAGACAATTGTGTCTTCAATATATTGATTTCATCCATATTAGATTCTGCAACTAACATGTCATTAACATATAATAGTAATATGATATAGGATGGACCAAAAATTTTCAAATAACAACATTGATCCATGGCACACTTCTTGTACCCTTTCCTATTCATAAAATTGTCAAACTTCAAGTACCACTGCCTTGGTGCTTGTTTTAGTCCATACAAACTCTTAGTTGTTAAGTCTCAATTTTACCACTTTTTGGATGAGACTTATTGAACAAATTCCACTCATCCTTTGAACCATTGCAATATAATTGTTCTCTTTTTGGTTCATTTTGCACTTGGTGCTTGTTTTAGTCCATACAAACTCTTAGTCAACTTACAGACCAAGTTCTCTTTTCCTGCTATTTGGAAACCCTCTGGTTGCACCATGCAGATGTTCTCATCAAGGTCACCATGTATCTCTTGTTGCCATCATGTTCTTCCTTGACCCTGAACACCCACTTGTTCTGCAATGCCCTCTTTCTTGATGGTAGGTCAATCAAACAGCAAGTTTTATTCTTCTTAAGTGACTTCATCTCCTCCTGCATGGCTAATTTCCACTGGGCTGCATCATCCATCTGTAATGCCTCATGATAACATAGAGGTTCTCCATCATCAGTCAACAACAAATAATTTGCTGAAAGAGAGAATCTATGAGGAGGCCTAATAACTCTGCTTGATCTCCTCACTTCAATTACTAGAGTGAATGGAGTGGTCTCATCAACTGTCCTATTTTCTGAGCTCTCACATTTTCCTGCAATGTCATCTTCTGTAATGTCATCTAACACTGCCTCTTGCTTCTCTGTTATTTTTTTTAGCTTCAACATTTGTCTCAAGTCTGTTCTTGTACACGACATTTTCATTGAAAGTAAAATCTCTGCTTCTAATGATATTTCTGTTTTGATCATCCTAAAAGTGATATCTCATATCATTTTCTCCATAGCCAATAAAAATTCATTTTCTTGCTTTTGGATCAAGCTTGTCCCTGTCAGCATCTCTAGCATGAACATAAGAAACACAACCAAATACTTTCAAATGAGAAAGACTTACATTCTTATTTTGCCATTCCTCCTCAGGAATCTTGAACCCTATGGGAACTGAGGGTCCTTGATTAATGAGGTATATTGTTGTGCTCATTGCATTTGCCCAGAATGTCTTCGGTAACCTACATGAATTCTCATACTCTTTGCCCTCTCATTCAAGGTCATGTTCATTCTTTCAGCAACACCATTCTGTTGAGGTGTCTCAAGAATAGTTTTAAGTATTCTAATTCCATTCTCAGCACAATAATTAACAAATTCAGTACTACGGTATTCACCACCATTATCAAACTTTAAACATTTAACTTTTAATTATGTCTCTTCCTCAACAAAAACTTTCCATTTCTTAAAGGTATTAAATACTTCTGATTTTTGCTTGAAAAAATAAACCAATACCTTTATGGTGGAATCATAAATGAAGGTAACATAATACCATGATCCTCCCAATGATGAGATTAATGTTGTTTCGTACACATCTGTATGAACAAGCTCCAACTTTTCAACCTTGGACATCCTCCTTGACTTGGCAAAAGTAACTCTCTTCTGCTTTCCAAACATGCATGGTTCACAAAAACCAATTTCTACCTCTTTCAGTTCTGGAATCTTCCCCTTTGAGACTAGTATCTTCATACCTTCTCACTCATATGACCAAGTCTCTGGTGCCACAAAGTCGAAGAGTGACCAACATCATTACTAACTGAATTTACTTCTTCTATAGGTGATTCTACCATGTAAAGGGTTCCTTTCTTCTAGCTGCGAGCAACAACTATATTACCTTTAACCACCTTCCATTGACCATCTCCGAATGTAACTCGATATCCTTGAACATCCAACATACCCACAAAGATTAATATTCTCTTAAGTTCTGAAATATATCTGACATCCTTCAGTGTCCATACTATAATCGCAGAAGTTCTAAGATTTATATCTCCCATGCCTACGATGTCTAAAGCTTCATCATCTGCTAGACGAACTTTGCCAAAATTCCTAGTTCTGAAATTTTTCATCAAGTCCTTGTAAGGAGAAGCATGTAAAGATGCACCAGAATCCATTGTCCAAGATTCAAACTTACTCTCAATGCAACAGATTAACAAATCATCAATGTCTTCTTGTGTTGCATTTACTGTGTTGTCATGCCTCTTTTCTTTAGGGGCAAAAGGAGCAGTACACTGATTTTTGAAGTGGCCATTTTATTGACAATTCTAACAGATAATATCCTTGCGAGGTTTGGACAGTCCTTGCTTCTTGGACTTTGATCTATCACGCCTAAAACCTTGCCCCCTTTCAGGCCTTCTGCCTCTACCTTCTGTGCTCAATAAGGAACCTCCTGATTCTCTGGCATTTCTCCTACGAACATCCTTACCAAGGATTAAATCCCTAATTCCTTCGAAGGTCAATTTTGTAGTCCCAGACGTACTAGCGACTGTTGTGACAATTCCTGACCAACTATCAAGCAACGAGGATAGCAACAATAGGGCTTGTACTTCATCATCAAATTTAATATCCATTGATACTAATCTCGATAGTAACGAATTAAATTCATTCACATGATATGTAACACTAGCACCTTCTCTCATCTTCGTGTTAACTAGTTGACGAATAAGAAATACCTTGTTTGATGCTGATGGCTTCTCGTACATGTTTGAAAATGCCTTTATCAAACCATATGTCATCTTCTCATTGATAATGTTGTAGGCGACATTCTTCGCCAACGTCAATTGACGACTCCTAGAGCCTATCAATCTAGCAAATTCCAATCTTTCTGAGACATTGTTTCTGGTTTATTCTTGGACAGAGGTTGGTTCTGATACAAATAATCTTCAATCTACATCTTCCAAAATTCGAAATCGCTCCCATCGAACTTGTCAATCTTCACTTTTCCGTCTTCTGCCATTGCTCCCACTCGCGTGAAACCCAAGGCTCTTGATACTAGTTGTTGGGGATCTCAAACGCACTCACACGCATAATTACAAGAAAGAAAATAAATTAATAAGACACAGAGATTTACATGGTTCGGTCAGAATAACCTACGTGCACGACTGCACTAGATGATATTTTCTATTTCATAATTAGGTTTACAATTACATGAGTATTTATAAAAAATAAAGAAAGCAAATGGGTTAAGCCCAATAAACCCTTAAGACTCCACATACTCAACAGTTGGTAGGATATATTTTCAAATAATTTTTTATATGTTAATAATCTTTTTAAATTTAAATGTCAATTGAATTTTATAGTTTTTTATGTCGGTGAATCTATCATTTTAAATTAGTCAAAAATTAATTCAAAATCATGTCATAAAATTAAAAAAAATTATTATTAATTTTAAATTGAGCAAATTAATGTAAATATAGTAGATAAAAAAATATTAAAATAAATCTAAAATATAAGATAAAAAACTTAAAAATATAATTTAACCTGAAAAGAAGAATGCAATTATTTGACAAACACTTCCATCTCGAGTAGGCCTAACTACAATTAATTACATATGGCGGATGAAACATGTTTAGGCCTAACTTCTATTCCTTCAAGAATGAAACCATGCTTCCACATATTACTTTCTGTTTCCCTCACTGCCATATGCACCTTGTCTTCTTCTAATCCCGAATTGAAAAACTCTCCCATCTCAATCTCCAACCACCCATCGCTTCTTACGTTAGGACGTTCTAATCCCCAGAATCTCTCATCTAATTCATCGTCTTCTAAATTGGGATCCAAACAAACGTACTTGGAAGTGCTACTGCCACCAACAATACCTACTGATAACGCCACAGGAGCGTGGTGAAACCCGCTCGCATCGATCATCTTGAAGACAAGAAAAGCTGCATAGTGAGTGTTTGGTGACAAAACACGCATGTTTATGTTTCCATTTATGTCTAACCAGCACACAGCATAAAGCCTAGCAACTTGTTCGAACCTGTTGCATGGCACAAAATTAATTAAGAGATCGTTTGGATATAAATTTAGAATAGAATTCTTTTATTAAAAAATTCTCAGAAAGTACTTTTAACTTGAAAGAGATTTTAAATCAACTAAGAAATTCACAAAGGAAAATATGAATGAAAGCAAACCTAGAATCTGGCAGGCTTGTCCACTCCCAATATTGGGAAATCTCAGCCGGCGGTGGAGCTTAAAAACAAAAAAAAGAAGTGTCAACCTTTTATATTTACATAAAATTATCTATAATAATAAAAAAAAACTAAAAATTACTTCAATTGAAGTATATATATGTAATTGAAACATAAACAATTTCAAAGAAAATTAAATATATCGTATATGCATATTTTTATTTTTATTTTATGTGATTTATCTGACTGACCCCATACGATGTAAAGATCTGTAGCAGAAAGCATGTAACACTTGTTCCCAGTCCGCTTCTCCAATTGAAAGCTCTGCAGTGATTTCATTGAGACATCAGAATTCAATTCAAATATTGGATCAAAAGCACTTAGGAAGCAATAATGATTAATTGTGGATACAAATTATAAAAAGTTACCCTTTTGCCCTGGTGGATGATGGTGGGACGGTCGCATAGAGCGAAATAGAGATCCTTCTTAGAGTTAGAGGAAGGGAAGGAAGAAGGAGAAATGATGGAGGATAAATCAGAGGGTAGAAAACGTTCCCACACAGTGTCGTATTCCGCAGCAGAAAGAAAGGCCTTGGAAGCGAGGGAGAGCCTGAATACATCCACGGGAGTGCTGGTGTACGACAATATGTGTGCCATGCATCCCTCCGGTAACTCTTCCATCGTCTTTAATTTCTTGGAGATATCAACTATGATATGAGATGTGTGTGAACACTAGTTTCTATCATAGGTTACTTATAACATCCTTTCTCTACATCACTCATGTCTTTATCAACTACGAAATTGCTTCGAAGCTATGTATTCAAAGTCTTGGGTGGTCGGTGGTAATGGTAATAGGATTATAGGAACGCTTCACACACGGTGCTTACGTAGCTTCACTTATAAGTTATAAATATCACAATTTTTTTTATCTTTTTTTAGTTCTTTAATATTAAATCAAATTTATTTTTTTAAAATGCGTGAGATGTTGTTCTTTCTATTTTGAACACACACAAAAATACTATCTCTTTCTAATTTCTTGATTATGAAAATATGAATTACATTACACGTGACGTATTTTTATAAATCAGAAATTAAAAGGAGGTGATTTTTTTCGAGGGGGTAAAAAGTAAAAATAAATATTACTTTATTTGACGAGACTGAAAATAAATTTAATATTTTTTTAAAAGAGTAAGGTTATTCTCCCTCACTTGTTATTATATTTTTCAAAATAAGGAGAAAAAAAAGAAAGAGAAAAGTTAAGATGAAATAGGAAAAGAAAATGAACATATACAAAAATAAAGAAGTTGCGAAAAAATAAATAAAATGATACGACTCTTTATTTGTTTTCTCCGCGTTCAATCATTCTGTCTGTTGATGTCTTAAAAGTTGACTAGGATGCTAAACTTCGTAGAATGTTCTCTTTAGGATTAATTCAAGATAAGCTTCTTTTCAAAACAAACCTACTCTTACCGAATAATTACATGGCATGCCTTTGGAAATTGGAAGAGTTGGTCCGATATTTATAACATCATTTTTTTTAATGTTAAAATAATATTTGATGTCATATTTTGAGCCTAAATTATTTTTTAATTTTCAATTTTAAAATACTGTGTAAAACATATTTATTGATAAAGAAAAAACGAAAATCACTCATTTTTCTATATATGAAATCGATTTTAACATTATTGTGAAAGTCTGATTCAAAAAACCATCATTGTGAAACTCGGGATGATCAATTTGTAAATGTATGACACCAGTTCAAAGATGTGGAACTTTTGGTTGAAATTTGTTCTCGTGTACATGAACCGAGCACCTGATGTCAAAGTTAAAAATAATGTATAATGCTGTATATTGAAAATAAAAAATATTTTTTAATAAATAAATTTTTAAAAATACTTCTAAAATTATATCTAAATAGAATCTTACTTATATTCAAATAAACACTAGGAATAAAGGTAGGCTTGGAACCTGATAATAAAAGTTGAAGTTCATCCAATAAATATTATTAATTTCAAGTAAAATATTTATAATTATGTATTTTTAAGAATATATATATATATATATATATATATATAATAACCAATTTAATACCCATCATATTAGTGA